TGTTCAAAAATCCCGGGATCTAGATCGGAAGAGCACGCCCTGGGGATGCTGGTGACCTGAGGGTGGGGGAAGAGTGGCAGGAGAAGGGGTGGTCCATGAACCTTCCCGAGGACGTACTAGAGGCCACGGAAAGTCATCTTGCATGCGAGCTCTGACGCTTGTCTTGATATAGGAAGATGATATCAGGAACCCTGAGTTCCTCTGACTCAGAGCAATCATGGCGCTGCATTCTTCCCCCCAAGCAAGTGTGCGTGAAGGAGAGAAAACCAAGAGGAGGAAAAGACATGTGGGTTCTCATTAAGAAAGTAGGTCAGAGTCGCACTCTTTTGGTCTGCTCCTAAGCCTCGTCCCCTGTAGTCTTCATTATCTTAGAGCACATGCCGCGACCAGGGCCCTGCTCATAACACCCATTGTGTCCGTGGGCCGTTTTGTGGTGTCGGCTCTCTGAGCCACAGCACGCGCAACCTCAACAGTGTTCTGCTATGGGATGCTACTCAGTACCTGTGGGGCAGCCGATACTAACTTATTGATTAAGAGGTTTTTCCCTTCTCTAATAAGAAGAGGACTTTATTTCCTAGAGTTCTTGCTCTGGAATTTTTCCCGGCAAACTTTTTTTTTTTTTTTTGATAGTCAGTGGAAAATTCACGGGGTCACAGGGATGGTCTGGTGCTTAGTGGGTGGAAGTCGGCCTCGGGAGTTAGGCTTCTTGGTAAGTAACCAAAGTAGGATTCAGCCCAGTCTTCGGGCAGACAAAATAAGCCCATTTAGAGGAATCTCATGAATTTTCATCATGAACTAGCGAACATCAGAGGGCAATAGGAAACCAAAATTATAATACGCTATCTTTCTCAAGTCTTCTATCAAAGAGCCCAGTCAAATGAATTATGAAGGGAGAAATTATACTTTGGAATCCTCCATGCTTTCGTGCAACCATGAATGGCATTGATTCAGGGGAGTTGTAAGGAGCGTTTCAATGAGAGAGATTTGAAGCAAGGAGAAGTCAGGACATACTGGTATACAAAGAGGGTCAGATCTCATGGAGAAGCAGAAAGTTGGAGATAATTGAGCGCCGCCTCATTACATTCATCAGAAGGCACGGGACCGTTGTCTCTGTGCGGGAACCAGTCACCTGCCCTACGTATGAAGATACAGCTTTCTGGGTCCCGCCTCTAGCGTTTCTGGTTGAGAGTCTCCAGGTGGGTCCAAGAGTCTGTGTTTCTAGAAAGTTCGCTGCCCCTGGTCAGTTTGCGAAAACTGCTGGGCCCGTCCCTACAGGTGGTGGATGCGCAGAGTGTGCTGGAACCCACCCAGTGGCATGGGCTGTGCAAGCTGCCTCTGCTGCACAGAGCGCACTCCCGGGAGCCCTACCCTGGCCCTAATTCTGCCAGCTGGAATTACTCTGAATACACCTAATCCCCGCATAAATGCCTCCGCTAACAGATGTAGCCTAAGGAAAAGAACAGATAGGGTACGTTTGGCAAATGATGCTGTTGCGCTCCACACTGGGAGTGCTTGGTCGATCTCTTCTGCGTCCAACTCCCAATGAGTTTAGAGCTTTGTGTTTTTAATTGGGGTTACACGTAGAAGAAAGCGTACACATCTCACGTGTACGGCTTGGTGAAGTTTCACATGTGTGGACACCCACACAACTACTTCCGGGCCAAAACGTGGAGTATTTCCACCACCGCAGAGGGCTCCCTGCCGTCTCTCCCAGTCAGTGCCCAGCCCCCAGCGCCCAGAGCCAGCGACCACGCCTAACCTCTGTTCTGCGTTGGCTGCAGCGGACAAGTTGTGCTGGCCTTGAACTTTACATAAACGGAAGCGTGGAGAGTATGCTCCCTGAGTATCTTCCGTTTCCACTCAGATTGACTGAGGTGTTGTACATGACAGTGACTCTCTCCTTTTTGTGGCATGTCGTGTCCCAAGTTCGATCTGTTGTATTGTCTTGCATTAGTTCCCTGGCCCTTATGCTCTTTTATATATTTTTAAGGCTTAGAATAACATTAGCTTGCGTGACTTCTTACCATGAGTCAGAAGGGCCTAAGTACAATAGTTCCTCCCCGCCCCCGCTTATCTGTGATTTCCTTTCCCCCAGTCACGGTTATCCACAGTCACCCATGGTCCTGACAGCAGGTGCTTCTCCTTCCGACATGTGGTCAGAAGGTCAGTGTTGGCCGCACGCTAGGTCATGGTGCCTGTGTCGTTCACCTCATTTCATCTCATCATGGAGGCGTTTAATCATCTCACATCATCACAAGAGTTGAGTGCAGCACCAGAAGATGTTTACAGAGAAAGAGATTCACATCACTTTTATTATAGTGTATTGTTATAATTGTTCCGTTTTATTATTAGCTGTTATTGTTAGCCACTGACTGTGCCTAATTTGTAAGTTAAACTGTATTGTAGGTATGTATGTACAGGAAAGAAAACATAGAGTGTACAGGGTTCAGTACTACCCAGGGTTTCAGGCATCCCCTGGGATCTTGGAATGTGGATAAGGTGGGGACAAGGAGGGACTTCTGTCCCTTACATCGCTTAATCTTTCAACAGTGTGAGCTTGGTAGACCCTGAATCCATTTGGCAGATGAGATCACCAAGGCTTAGTAACTTGCCCAACGTCTCACGGGTCATTAGAGGCAGAGCCAGTATCGAAAGCAGGTCCTTCTGACTCACTCATGATTCCAAGTTCTCAGCTGTGTTCCCAGGCCTCTCACTCATGGTGCTTTGCCAGCAATCACTGATGCGAGCCGGACCCTGACGAGCTTGCATCTTCCTTCCGTGTCAGGGACCTTTCCATTTCCAGCCCTTGTTGCCTTCCTCCTGTTTGGTGGATCTCAGGGGTCCTCGACTGTGTTGGCGAACCGGAAATGTGCGGGGGACGTTGTCACAGCTCTTTCTGCAGATGCTCACGTCAGTGGGAAGCATGTTATCATTCATCTGAATGTCGTCGACCAGAACGAAATCTCCTATTTGCTGGCTCTCTGGTCACACCCGAAACCCCTGTCCGTGTCGGGGGCAAATAATAGAAGAATCATCTCTGCCCTGTGGTGCCTGTTCACGTTACACCTAAATGGTCCCTGAAAAATAATGTTCTGTTCTGTTGAAGGAAATGTTTAAACTTCCTTTGACTTTAATGTCTCATAAACCCCTAGCAGAAGGAAGTTTATTTTTAAATACAAATTACCATGGGCACATCATGCCTTATTTCCTGTTTTATTTCGTTAATTAGTGACGGAAGATGGCTGGTCAGCTCACTCTATGGTATCAACTTGAATAGATTTAAAAAATAATCAGATGTTTTGCAGCAGTTCTAAGCCTGACCTTGATTCAGTATCCGGATACAGTCTCCACGTATACTGATGTTTGTATATTCTCCATTGTATTTTTATATTCCTCTTGGTGCATGCAGAGCCAAAAAATCTAAATTTCGGCTGCTAAGTATATAGACTTGGTGGTGTTTGGATTTAAAAGGGTGGGTAGTCTGCGAAAGAATTCTCTGTCCTAACAGAAAATGAAGGTCAGGAGTAAAAAATGGGCTGTGCTTTACTTAACCTGTCCTCCCACTGATTTTTCACAAATCCATTTGTAGAAATCCATTTATGTATTTAATCTTTCTGTAATTCTAATTTATATTCAAAGATTTGTGCTGGGGCAGACATTGGGTCTTTAAAAAGAGCCATCAACTTTCTGGACACACAGTAAGTTAGGGCAACCAAATGATTGCTGCGGGAAAGGTGTTTTTTGTGGAAGACTTCCGTATGGAAGGAACGACAGAACTAGGCCCCACCCTTTTGCAACTCTAGTTAAATAGTGGACACAGACAACCCTCGTCAGTGACTGGTAAAACTAGGAAGGGAAAGCTCAATGAGTAGCTTTATAAGGGGTGATCAGATTGACCACATGGGAGCCCGCCATCTTTCTTACTACAGCTGAAGTGGACAAGGAGGTGCTATACACTTCTGCCTGGAAAAGTGGTCCGTGCTCAGCATCACCCAGGAAGTGCGCTTGTCAGGAGTGCTGACTGGAGTCTAACCAAGCTCCTAACTGTCCTGCTGGACATAGGAAAATACGGAAGATGGAGCTGGGGCTCTCAGCCTTGACTGCACATTAGACTCACATGGGGAAGTTTAAAGTCTGGATGCCCCGGCTGTGTCCCAGACCAATTAAATGAGCTCTTGGCCTGGATATTGGTAGTTTTTCTAGTTCCACCAGATGTCACGATGCAAGCCAAGGATGGAAACCAAGGGAATTGGGGGGCCAGCTGAAAGAGAAGACAAGAAAATAATCACGAAATGCAGAATGTGAGGAACCCCATAGGACAGGTGACTCGTGTTTCACAGCATCATGACATAGCATTAGGAGAGAGGTGCAGGAGGGGACGCTTGTAGGTTAAAAGAGATTTAAGAAATGTAAACCCAGCGTGATGTGCAGTCTTTTTTAGATCTGGATTCAAACAAATCAGCCTTACCAAGACACGTTGTAGAGAATCAGGAAAATTTGGATGTAGGCGGAGTGTTCAAGGACCATGTGGCATTGAATGTTGGCTTTGTTACTCGTGATGATGGTTTGTGGTCATGTGAAAAAAAATAGAGATACGTACCGAAGCATCCATGGATGAAATATAAAGTCTGGGATTTCTTTTAAAATACTCTAGCAAAAGATGGTGAAGGGATTCATGAAAACAGGTAAAAAATTGGTGCGAGGTGATAATTGTTACAGTTGGGTAAAGGGTACATGGAGGTTCATTTTACTCTTCTCTCTGTGTTTGTATGTTTATATAATTCATACAAAGGATGAAGAAGAAGGCATTAAGGTGACATAGCTAACCTCTCTTGCACGGTGATGTATTATCAGTATGAACTCTGTTAAGTTCATATGGAAAATAAACCTGCAAAAAACAAAGTCTAGCCCTCTGTGTCTGTGCAAAGCAGCCCAAGTTCTCTTGAGAAAAATACTCATATGTTCAGTGATTGACTGACTATGTTTGCATCTGCTTGCAGATGATTCTGGGCCGCCCCCTTCTACTGTTATCAACCAAAACGACACTTTTGCCAAAATTCTGTTTAAGCCTACCGTGGTACAACAAGCCAAGATCGCCCAGAATGGCATTTTGGGAGATTTCATCGTTAGGTACGATGTCAACAGGGAGCAGAGCATTGGGGACATCCAGGTAATGGGCTCCTCGTTGCCATTTCCTGTCAGTTGCTTCATACTTGTAGTTAGACTCAGAACGAGGGATTCCAGTTCTTAACCTAAGGGAGGGAGAACTCTCTGGTTCTTAGAAATGTGTTTTACCCTAAAATATGTCTCCGAGGGGCCTAGGGTGTTCCCTTCCTAGAGGCTGAGGGTATCTACTTCCTGCTTCAATAATCTGGAGAGCAAATGAAATCTGTAATATCATTTTCCCTGCAGTGTTTTAGATGAAGTTAGAATTTTAGCTCATGTTCACTGTTAATTAAGAGAGCCTGGTGCATGGCTCATTTCCCTTTAGGTTTTATTGCTCCAGAAACAGGGTGGGAATATTAAAATGTGTTCGCACGCATCCAGAATGTAGACACCTTTGCCATCTCAACTCGTAAAAACCAGATACTGAAGGAAGCAGAAGTTCCAAGTGGCAAGGGCCATTGGGCGGGGGTGGGGGGGGGTGGATAATTAAACTTGAGTTAGTCCACATAGTCGAGAAGTTTTTAAGGGATGATATTATCTCTCTACAGATTAAATGAGCAGGTAGTTCGCTTGGAGGGATCAGGACAGTAGATACGTTTGCTGGGGGTGTGGAGTCTGTTTCACGCTGAGTTTCAGAAGTTACGTAGACTGTCCGTTGTAGCTAGTTTGCCTGCCTACCTTGGGTACTACCAGCTTTACTTTCCCTTCCCTCCACCAGGTTCTAAATGGCTATTTTGTGCACTACTTTGCCCCCGAAGACCTGCCTCCTTTGCCCAAGAACGTGGTGTTTGTGCTTGACAGCAGTGCCTCCATGGTGGGAACCAAACTCCGGCAGGTGAGTGAGATTCCGTTCTGCCTCACTTTTGCCCGCAGCCCTGTCATTCTCTGTGAGTAAAATGATGCCAAACGTCTGCTTTACCATCCACCCATTCTTGCCTACAGAGAAGATTCCTGAACCGCTTTGGTCAAGCCATTGACGTTAGCTATCATTCCAAGTTGGCAGTTTTAAGAGAGTGGAGGGGTGTGTTCTAGAAATACTTTGAAGTAAAGGGAACTGGCAGAGAAGATACTGAGAGTGAGACAGGAATACACTGAGAGGGCCACGTCACAGCACCACTGTGGCTGGAGTAATTCGGTTCGGCTGTGATGTCCTTTGAGAGCGATGGAGTAGAGCCATTGGCACCCCCGTGGCCTACCCTCAGAACAAAGGACTTCTGTCCCAATAGCTCAGGAGTGATACGATTTTTTTCTTAAGTTTATTTATTTATTATGAGAGAGATAGAGACAGTGCAAGTCGGAGAAGGACAGAGAGAGGGGGAGAATCCCAAGCAGGCTCTGTGATGTCAGCATGGAGCCCAATACGGGAGTCAAACCCACAAAGCTGCGAGATCGTGACCTGAGCTGAAATCAAGAGTCAGACGCTTAACTGAGTGAGTCCCCCAGGTGCCTCAGAAGTGATATTCTTATAGCATTTAGGATGAATGTTAAAATTCTAGGGGTGAGAGGAACATTAAGGGACATGTAGTCTGTGCTGCAATATTAAATTATACTAAAAATATAAGTGTTAAATTGTTTTTTTAAACCACTGGAAAAGGCTATTTGTTATGTTACTCTGGTAGCATAAATATCAGAAATTTGCATTTATGATATAGTTTCAACTCACATAATAGAAAACAAAAAGCTACTGGCTGTCGGACCAAATAATAGCTCTACATTCATCAAACACTTAGTCCTCTTAGCTTTCCTTTCTTAATTCATAATCTGTTTTTGTCAATTAAAAATATGTGGTTTAATGAGTGAGGTAGTACCTCAAATATCTCAAACCTCAAAAGAACCCTTTACTCCACTTCTTTTCACCCCTAGATCCCACTCCACACATAGCTGAATCTGATCTTAGTGGATAAACTATTGTAAATATTTTCTCGCAGTTATGACTTTGTAAGTCGTTTCTTTGGCCATCTATATTTTAAAAACCATGTAGTAAAATCTGTTGTCTTTTTCTTCATGGCATCTGATATTTCTCCACTCCAAAATAGTAAACAATGTGGATTCCAGGCAAAAATAAGGTTGAACTATTTTCTGTTTGCCAGATTGCCAGATACAATTTCAACTAGGATAGGGGTAAGATAACCTCACCCTGGAAATCAGTTCCGTGTACTTCTTCAACATCACATGCTTGTATGGAATTCAACCTGCTGGGTCCTCCGCTTTGATCGCTTCTCCTCTCTTTTGCATCTTTGGTTCTTTTGCTTGAAGAGCATTCACTGATATCTTCTTAAGTGTGGGTCTGCCAGTAAAGAATTCTCTTAGTTTTGTTTGTCTGAAAATTACGTATTTCACTCTCATTATTTAAGGATATTTTTAGCCGGAATGGAATTGTAGGTTGGCAGTGATTTTCTTTCAGTCCATTGAAGATAGGTCCCATTGTCTCCTGGCTTTCATTGTTGCTATTGAAAAGTCAGTAGTCTTATTAATTGCTGTCCCTCTTAATCTTCTATGGTCAACTGCTTTCAAGATTTTCCTTTTCATCTTAAGTTTTCTGTAGTTTTAATATAATGATGTCAGATGTGGATTTCTTATTTTCTCTGCCTGAGGTTCCTAGGGCTTCATGATTTTGTGGATTCATGTAAATTTCTGAAATTGCTTTGGCTCACTTTTCCTTCTAGGACTGCAGTGTTAGAAACTCTCTCCATATTCTGTTGCCCGGCCTCTCTTCTATTTATTCCAACTTTTGCCTTTTCATACTTCATTCCAAACCTATTACAGTTTACAAAGTCCCCTTTCAGTCATGTCCAATCTGCTGTTAAACTCATCCATCGAGTAATTTCAGTTATTGCTTTTTTTTTTCTCGAATTTCCATTTTTTTCCCAATCTACCCTGTCACTTTTTAGAATGTTCAGTTATTTTTGCAAAGTTTTTAATAACATTTTTGTTGTTTTCAAGCACCAGAGACATATGTATTTTAAAGTCTATATCTAATCATTCTAACCCAGAGCCTCATAGGAGCCATTCTTATCATTTCTCTTCTCTTCTTCTGTGGCTGGTCATTTTTGATTGCGTGATGAACATTATATTAAACATTTGTTGGTAGAAATAGTTTCAGTCATAAGATGATGATCTTTTCTGCTAGAGAAAGTTGGGAGTGTTTCTGTAAGGTACTTGGAGGATTTAATCTGGGGTTGTTTTAGTCCATTTTCAGGGCTTGAGATTTTTCTGGGCGGCCCAGATGGCTCAAAGCTGGATTGAAGTCCTTTCAAGACTGATTTATTTCTGTTTGGTACAAAATATAGCAGTTTACCCAAGCACCTATCCCTGGTGGGCTCTGGACCTCGACTTCTGATCCTTTAAAATGCTAACATGATGCTCAGCCTCTCAGATACTTCTTTGGCATTGACAAAGATCCTTTAGGTGAAAGTGATCCCAAATGCTGAACCCACCTCTTCAAATTTTCATCTTTTCCCATAGTGAGATATTTTTGCTCACTATTTTGATACTCACTACTTTGATTTAAAAAATTTTTCATTTTGTATTTTGCTTTTTTAAGCTGTTCTCAGTGGGAGAGTTGGGTACAAATTACTTGTATGTTTGCTCTCTGGGCAGCATTTCCCAAAGTGACTAATCACATGTATGTGAAACGTTCTTTGGTAGTGGCTGATTTTTGATTGATGTTTGAGAGGCCTCACAGCCTTTCCATATTTACTGAATATTCTTTAAGTACCCCAAGTTCTTAAGTGGTATTGTTGTTTTTGTGACTTTGTTGGCTGGAATACAGGTGCTGGCATACAGATAATCATGGTTTTCTTTGGGGGTCACTGTTGGTCATAGAATATAGTGTTAATTAGGTCTTGCATCTGACCCAGTGAAGTGATTCCCATTTGGATTTGGAATCAATTAGCAGTTAAGTTACTGAGTAGGTGCTATGAACTAGGTTTCCCTGTGTATGTCATCAACTTTATATGCACCTATAAATCCTCATTTTTCTTTATTTTGTCTTTTTCTTTAAGACAATGGCCTTCATGCAGCCAGGGTTTGGGTTTCCTCTGGGAAATATATGTAACTTCATGAAGGTATTAATAATGTAAATTCCTGGGTGGCTCAGTCGGGTAAGTGTCCCACTGTTGACCTGGGCAGATCCTGTTTGGGATACTCTCTCACCCTCTCTCTCTGGCCCTCCCCGGCTTGTGCGCTCTCTCTCTCTCTCTCTCAAAATAAATATACTTAAACTTTTAGGTCTTTTTAAAAAATGTTTTATTTTGGAGAGACAGAGCATAAGCAGGGGAGGGGCAGAGCAAGACGGAGACACAGAATGCAAAGCAGGCTCCAGGCTTCGAGCCGTCAGCACAGAGCCCAACGCGGGGCTTGAACCCACAAACCGTGAGATCATGGCCTGAGCCAAAGTTGGACGCTTAACCAACTGAGTCACCCAGGGGCCCCTACACTTAAAAAGTTTAAATAAAAAATTTAATGTAACCACTCTGAATTTGTGTTACCACCAAATATTTTAAATTTTGATATTTTTACTTACCCTTATATTATGAATATATCTAATACTATTAACTATTCCATAAAAAGCTGACTTTAATGACAGCACTGTTCAATAGAAACTTCTATGAGAATGGGAATGTACTATACCTGTGCTATCCGGTATGGTAGCCACTAGCCACCGGTGGGTATTAGCGCTTGAAATGTGACTAATGCGACTGAGGAACATTTTTTTTATCTTATTTAAGTTTAACACATTTAAATAGAAGTAGCCACGTGTGACTGTGGTTACCATATTGGATGGTGCAGCTGAAAACATTTACTCACTCACACCACCCGGGAGAGACATTTCAGTTACTTGCACTTTTATGCCATCATAAACAGCACTGGGGTGATCCGTGTCTGGTAGAAATCCTTGACCATGTGCCAGTCAATTTCTTAAGTAATCTAGAGTCTTAGTGGAATTACTGGAGCAAGGAATACTAACTCATTTGTACTGTGTACAGAGATTAAAAACACATTTTCTAGAAAGGCCCTACCAATGTATTAACATTTACAACTGTTACCCAAGTAAGAATTCCAAATGGATTAAGCAGTGGAGAGTAATCGATGAACCACACCCAAAAATAAGTAAGGAAATATGGGTGCATATTTAACTAGTTCTGAAGTGGGGAAAGACCTTCGAAGCCTAAAAGCAATGAGAGTAATTATAAAAGGAAAACAACAGTCAGTTTAGCTATATAAAAATAAAAATATAAAAATATTGAGCTATATAAAAATGTTAAGCTTTTGTTTTAAGTGAAAATAAAGTGAACAGAAGGCTGGAAAAATGTATGAGGTAAAGAGAAGTTTTTCTTTAATATATAAGAGCCAGTCCAGATCAGTTAATATTAACCCTACAGGAGAAATGGGCAAAGAATATGAAACAATTTACATAAAAGAAATAATCAGTAAGACTATGGAAAAGAGCCCAATGTACTAGTAACTAAGAACACACAGATTACATAATGCTGTTTTTATCTCCATGTGGTCAAACTTAAAAATAATGTAAATTACTTACAATGACCACATCTGTAGTTCGCATTGGTAGAATTCAGCACAATTATAATATAAAGTTATTTCCCAGTAAATACTAAGAAACACCAAAATGGCGAAAGGCATGGTCAGTATTGCATCTTCTCACAAAGGTCAGTAGTCACCCAAAAAGCCACAGTAGCTCGAAGGACTCCTATCATTAGCTGCTTGAGTCTCATCAGGGTTTAACCCCAAACGCAGTCCATTCCCATGCACAGGGTCTTCTTCCGTGTCTGATAGGAAGACAGTCAAGAGCCTTCTAACTAAATAACGCCCGGA